GGGGTGAGGTGCGACTTCTCCAGAGTCACACCTTTGCTTCACAAAGCCATTGATTTATTCAAGGGTTTAGCCTGGGCTGCTTGAACAATCCAAGTGTGTAATCCGACACGCAGGAAAATTCCTTCAAGTTTCGGCTGGAATATCTTGAGCTGTGTGTCCACTTACCCTGAGGCAGAGGCTGCGGCAAATGCCTGAATTTCAGTCAAAGAGAATTTAAGTCAAAGCATTGCACCTATTAACACACTGGTTACTTCTCTTTATGTCTGCCTCGATTTGGTGGTTTGGGCAGCAAAGCTGGGATACATGTGCTGGGTTATGTTTCCAAATCTGGTTAACACTGGCTTTTTTAGATCTGGTAAGTAAAATTTCTATTTTTCAAACACCCTCTTGGGGTATCTGTTCCCACTTCACCTCTGCCTCCCAGTTGTTTTTGTACCCTCAGTCCTCAGGATGGATGATATGTGGAATCCCTGGTTATAAACTCGAAGCTGTGCTCCAAGTTGAGTTCTGTTTGCCCGGTAGTTTTGGATGATACTGTGTTTCCCCTTCGAAATTTCAGGGATGTCAACTCTGATTTCTGCCGATTTTGCTGGCAGGTCACGATGATTTCTGTTAGTTTTCTATCTAAAAGCGAGATTTAGTCTGTGCTTTCAGTCAGAATGGAACAACACAGTAAATTTGCCTTTTGGGCCAGTGTGTGGGACAGAATGGCTGCAGCCACATGGCACACAGCAGTGATAGGCTGTAAATGTGCTCTTAATGGTGTCCCAGCAGCTTTGTGCCAGATCAGGTGTCAGCCGTCCTTTAGCAGCTGGTAGAAGGACAAATTGAGCACTGTACAATGTGTAACTGGCTAATTTGATGGAAATATGATTATCCAGCTATTCTAGAAACAGATCAGATTTGCACTGTGCAGGATCCAGGAGTGCACAAATCTGGAGATAACTGTGTCTCTGAGCAAAATGTGAGCTGGCTGCTGAATTTAGGTAATTGCCAACAAACGGTAGATGATGGCTAACAGTTTGACCAGTTCTTTGCCCTCTCAAGTGAATGCAGCATTGGCATTTTGTTAATGTAATCACAGGCAGGACACTAATTCCTCTTCCACAATCTAATTCTCCACACAAGTATTCCTCCCCTACAAAACCCAGCCCATCAGCCCTTGCAGTCCCTCAGCAGCCATTTGTTTTCCAGAAGGCTGATAAGACTCAACATCACAACTTTGTTTCCTTTCTTGCTCACTAGCTCTGGGTGTAGTTGTGTTTGAGGACATGGGAAGTACTGGTATTTGTGTGCCTGGTGACTGTTCTTGTGTTCAGTGCCCCAGCCCTGCAAACTGGAGAACAGGAAAGCCAGGGAAGAATGGTGTTGAGCAGTCTGGGCTGCTGTTCAGGCCTGTACAGTTTGTCCTGTCCCATACAGAGTTGTCACTCCACACAGAAGGTTAACAGTGACTTTTCATGCTGTGTTTGGGTAGCACTGCTGTGGAGTCTCCTGTGCTCTTCAGGCCTGCAGTTAAGGCACAGCACAGTGATACTGCCAGCAGGTTCTGTGGTACACAAAGTGTGTGAGTTACCCACCAGTGCTGAGCTTGGGTGTTCCTTAATGCCCACCCAGGCCTCTGTTAGGCACCCACCACCTGGTGCTTGGCTTGTAAGGCATCTCCTCTTGGCATGCCCATGCTTCCACTTCATCTGCCTCCAGTAATCAGTGAGGTGTGAGCTGCAACTGGGAGAAAATTGCCTCTGCAGAGGAGACTCACACCACGAGTTCACCTCTTGAGACAGGAAGGAAGCCAAGGTAAGAGTTTCTACTGTTTATGCCTTCTGCACATGATCTGTCACCACCCTGGCTGATGTGTGCTGAGACTGTTCATACCACAGAGCTCAAGCCAGGGCTCCTCGGGGAGGTGGCAAACACTTCAAACCTTGAACAGTCACTGTGCTCCTGCTGTTGCTACATACTCAGCTGGGAAGATGTTGATTCCTTCCTTTTAGCTGTTGGAAATGCTGGAAGCTGCATGGCTCTACAGATCACTGAGCTTGGCAGGAGGCCTGGCTGTGTTGGCTGTCCTAGAGCTGGGTCTGTTGGATCTCTCTGTTTCTAGTCTGATACTACTTGGTTGTTACTACTGGCTTGTGGGCTCTTAATATGCAGAAATCTGTTCTGTACAGAGAGGGACCTCGCCCTACACTTGCAGACATTTCCTAATTACATGTGGTTAAATTGGTTAAATGTTATTTGATACAGGTTTTCCTGTTCTTCTCTTTAATTGGTAGTAAATGGTAGAAGAGAACAATACACATGTTTTGACTTTAGTATAAGAATGCCACTGGCAAGGGCCCGTTTCAGTTTCCCATCTTATCTGGAAATGGAATGATAACTTGATTGTGTCAGTTTTATTGCTCCATTGTTACCAAACTGGAGAGGAAATGTTAATAAGGACAATGTTATTAAGGCAGTAACCTACAACTGCCCTTCCTGGTCTTCCTACTGATAGGTGTGGGTAGAAGGACGACACCTAAAATGTGGGTGTTCTCAGAGAATGTGGGTATTTCTTGATATCTCTATTCTATTTGTGACAAGTGCTGCCATGCAGATAGGGCAAACTGAAGAATTTGGCTGATAAGTAGTTCCAAGCCATATCTAGCCAATGTGAAGCAGAGGATTCATGAGAAAACATTGCTGCTGCCTTTTCATTTCCTGAACAGTCTGGAGTTAGCATGTGGGACCCAAACGCTGTGACACTGGGGAGATTTTGAAATACCTATAGCCTCTTACCATTCAACAGTGTTCACTTGGCAGAAGAGATTGGTAGAAAGGAAATTGGTTTCCTGACTTTAAGAGCAAAAATATGGAGTGATTTAATGGGAGAGAAAGAGCAGCCACCATTCCACCAGCTGTCTGTTGGTGATGTAGGCCATGTGCTCCATGGAAGCAAGGGTGATCTGCAATAGGGTTTCAGGGCAATCAGGACTGGGCCCTGCAGTGCCTCGTGTGAGGTTGGGCCCCCAGAGAAGTGAAGAGTCCTGCAAAATCTCTGTGGCCACATTAGAGAAGGTGCATCTCAGTGTTTTTGTTTGGGTTTTGGGTTTTTTCTGGTTTTTAAGATAGTCTGCAAAATATCTACCTAAAGTTATTTATTTATTGGTTTGTTACAGTCTTCTTTGTGGAAGATTGAGTGTTCAAGAAGTAAATACATGAAATCTCTGGTGCTTTCGGTTTCCTCTCCTGCTGTAGCTAACAAGGGTTGTCCACTCATAATGTCCTGGCCAAGCTGAAGGCATTTTGCATCTTTGGGTCACTTCATGGTCACAGAAACCTCTCCTCCCTCTCCTGGGAGAGAGAGCCAGGGCCAGCACTGCTGTTCTTAATCTGCTGCCTTCAATGCCAGTTCAGCCCCCCCGAGCCTGTGCTGATGGCAGGGGCTGGAGCCCTTCAGCTCTGGTGTGGATGTGCTGCCTGGTAACCAGGCCAGTGTGGGAAGGACAAAGTCCTGTGCAAAGGACTGCAGGCAGCCAAAGGAAAAGGGCCTGCAGCAACTTTTGGTCCATTCTTGAAGGAAGAATTCAAATAAGATACTGCAAGTGCCTCTGAACTTCACTGTGTTTCATTTAAGAAAAGATTGCATTGACCATTACAGCTTTTGCTTTTGTCTAAATTTCTCTTTCTTGTGTGTCTGAACTAACAGTGCCTCTCTCCTCCATGCCTTTTGGGTAGCAACAAGATTAATTTTCATTGTCTTGATTCAGATTTAAACCCTTAAACCTTGGCAAACGGTCATTCTGCCCCCAGAAATACTTTGCTCTGATTCAAATTAAATCACTAGTTTTTAATTTTTTTAAATTATCTTGAAATACTGAAAAGGGAAAAATGGCAGAAGCTATCCATCAATCCCTTGTAGAGTACAATAACAGTCAGAAACATTCTTAAATATTAAACTAGGAAGACTGATAGAGCTGAAACCTGTGCAATACAGTGAATCTGCACAGTGCAACATCTCTGAAGAGGTTTTGTTGAAGAATGAGCACGTTACCCAGGGTGTCCCTGTGGCAGCCGTCTCAGAGGTGCAGGCAGCAGGTGGAGCCAGAGCAGCCCGTGGGCAGGAGAGGAGAGGCTGAGCGCTGGGAGGGAGGGAGGCTGCCCTGCTGACACTGCAGGGGGAGGAAATGGCAATTCTCTGGTGCTCAGGGGAGGGGAGTCAGGGCAGTGCAGCACTGCTGGAGGCTTGGCTTCCCTGCTTGTTGTGTTGTTGGATTTTTAAACTTCATAATTCCAGAAGTGTTAGGGAAACCTTCCAGCCAAGGCAAAAGCAAGCCTTGGGCCCATCATCTGTCCCAGAATCCAGTGCAAAGCAGAGCCATGGCTAGCATGGATTTCCTTGTGTTAGGAGCTGGTTGTGCAGGGGAGTGCCTCACGTTTCCCTACTAGGGATGTGTCCCTGTCCTTCGGGTGCTCCTCTCTGGCTGCATTCACTGTTTTTGTGTTTTCATCCATGACTGATAAACCATCCTCTGTCAAAAATGCCAGCACAGCCTGTGCACGGAGAGAAGGGGACCCATGGCAGAGAAAGTGGCTGTTGTGGCTGTAAGGGTGGCTCCCAGGCTGGCTGGGGACAGTCACCCCTCCTGGAGAACCTGCACTCACTTCTGTTGATCTTTTCCCTTTGCACAGCTGAGATCTGGGCAGGATTTTCCTGCCAGGATCACTGAGCTTTGAGACTCTGCTGGCAGCACAGTGTGCTGGGGGTAGGACTGTGCCAAGACATGTAAGTCCTAATCTCTCAGGAGTGAAGGTGGTTTTTCCAGATGGTGTAGGCCAGGAGAATAATGGGATGAGGCAGGAGCAAGGGAGAGAAAAGCATGGTCAGTTGGTAATTTCCTGACTGGTAGTTGTAGAAAACATTATTATTATTATTGGGATGCCCTTGGTCAGCTGAAGCAGACCTTGTGTGCTGATTGTTTTCAGTAGTAGAATATTTGTAAAGTCTGAGGACTGGGGCTTCTTTTCATCAAAGCTTTTCAAGATAAGAGCCTGGCACGAAGCCTCGCTGCCCGTTCCTTTCTGCTGTCCACCAGCCATCCTCATTTTCTGTGATCACCACCACAATGTCTCCTTCACTGATGTCCAGTTCATCCTCGTTCTGAAAGGAGACAGGGAAAAGAAATGTAGATAGTCTGAGAGCACAGGAGGGCCCAAGCATGTATCTGATGGGGTTTTTTTAATCCTGCCCTTCATCAACAGTCTGCCAGTGTCCTGGATCTGAAATACCACACAATGAGGGATTAAGCATTTTGGCTATTTCCTTAAGATCCTCAAATTTCCCCAGCCTCCATGGTTTCTCCTCCAGCACAACCTGATGGTTTTATCTCTGGGGAACTCCAGAAAGGGTTAAACATCACTCTCCTAAACCAGCTCACCATGACCTGCATAGTCTGCAGGTGTTGCTAAATAAAACAGAGCACATCTTGATTCCTAAGGGGGATAACAGTGCCTCTGCTAATCCATGCCTGAAATAGGTCTCTCAGTTCTTTTAGCAGGGAATGTCAGTGACCAGTGGGGGACAGTGACTTTTGGACAGCAGTGACTTTCATCCCCAGACAAATGCAGTATTTGCAAATAAGCTCTCCCTGAGCTCCCAGGCAGCCAGCAGTGTTCAGTGGTACTGTCCTGTTTTCCATAGGAAACCACTTTGCTGCCCACAGAGTAGTAAATAGAAAACAGCATAAGAGAGGCTTCCAGAGATGTTTGAGGTGTCAGCTAAAACTGAATTTAATGCACCTGAGTAGGTAAGAATGGACTCAAAAAATGAGAGGCCTCAATGTACAATATATTAAAGGTAGTAACAGGCTCTTTTCTCAGCAGGGAATATCCCTGTGTGGCACAGTTTTAAGGGACTCCTGGAGCAATGAGGTGATCCAGTAGTCTCCTTAGGGGAGCTACCATTAACAGTGAGGTGCATTCAGCTGTACTTGCATGAAATTTCATGTAAATAATAAAAGAAAGTTTAAAATTAAGCAAAAAACCCCCCAACATCGAATAAAAGGTATTGAAATACTGCTGTACCTAAGGAAAAGTGCTCTTTTTGAGCATTTTCTCTGTTTTCATCATTTATCTGGCTGTCTAATTTGTCACTGTCATTTCTTCAACGTTGGCTGTTTGTGGCAGGTCCCTTGGTGTGAGGCTCTCTCTGCACTGAGACATGAGACCCTGTGGATGGTGTTTCTTCTGCTGATCTAAAGCTAATTAAAGGGACCTTTAAACTGACATGTAAAGCAAATGGTGATGGAGTCCAGGTTCTGGAGTCCATCTGAATTAGCAAATATTTATAACCACTCCATTCACAACCTTTTACTAATGGTATTCTGCCTGGTCAGGGCTGGATTCAGGGACAGTTCAATATCCCGGTGAAGGATTCAGGTTGTTCTCTAGGAGTCTTTTGTTGGCAGATGAAACACATCACTGGGATTCTGCAGCTTGCAGCATAGAAGTACAGGGAAAGAATGGCCTTTGTGGGATTGTGTCCTCTCCAGCATGGAGAACCAGAGTGCTAAACTGGAGCAGGACACATCATATCCCTGGCTATAAAATAGCAGTAACATCTTCACAGAATTTACACTTCCAAGATGTTTCAATCAGCATGGCTTATTTGAATGTGCTGCATGAAGTATTTATTTTTAAGCCTTTTTTTTTTTCTTACCTGGGCTGTGTAGTCATAAAGTACTCTGTAGTCCTGTGATGATGTGATCCCAGCTTTTTCATTTATCAAAAGGGATGCATAGACTCCGTCTGTACTCTCTGCAAGGGGGAAAAAAGAAGGAAGAAATACCCACCACAGAAACAAAGAGTTCAGTTGCTTATAAATGCGTGGGATCATATGCAAGAGTTCACAAATACAAGGGTTCTGTTCTCCCTCTGCCTGGAGATGCACATGTATAGAAAAGCTGCTGTGAACTGTAGGTAAAGTCTTGCACAAAAACTGTCTCTCATTCATGGCATGACAATACAGCCACTGAACTTTGTGGGAGGTCAGAAACTAGCTCCAGCCTCAGGTTGGGAAAAAGGTTTCCCCTGGAAAACACAATCCAAGTCATCTAAGGAGGGAAACACTCTGATTCAAATGGTTTAAAAATGTTGCTACTGGGGGGTATAAAATTCTAGCAGTTTGTGGGTCACACAGGACTGGTTTTTCCCCTTGAGAAAAATGGAAAATATTGTGCCAATGGGTCACCAGGCATTTTCCATGGTTTATATAATTCTCACATAGCTATTTGTCACAGACATAACCTTTTTTGCAGATGTTTTGTTTTAATACAGCTTGTTTTAATTAGGGAGACTTCTCATTTCTTTAGGGAGCTTCCCCTGCAGAGCACCAAATGCAGCAAGAGAGAGTCTGGGCTGTTTCTGGGTGCCCAAGCAGGCAGGTCTGGCAGGGGCAGTTGATTTTAAAGCTGTTGGAAAACAACTTTTGGTAAGTACTACAGTTAAGATGCTTTTGTTTGCTGTCAAACCAATAAAAAAATGGAATAAACTATTACCCTCTACATAGTCAAAATACAGTGTTTTAAATATCATCTGATAAATTCCTAGTTATAAGGATTACAACAGTGTAACTGTGAGGTGAGGTGGATATTTGTATTAATAAGCCATGTGCTATGTTAAAATTTTTATGTATTTTCTGGGGCTTTTTAGTGGTAGTTATGCTACACAAGGAGAAAAACTAATATCTATGTCAGACTGCTGCTCTGAATGTACAGCCCCCCCTGCCTGGATAGAGGTTTTGAAGAATATATGGATTATTTGGCACTTTAAACTGGGAAATTTGTTTCATACACATCCAAGCAAAGTTCATTTCCAGACTGCTCTTGCCTGCCAACATGTGAATATCTGCTGTACATTTCTGCTCACGTCAAAGGCTGGTTTAGCAACATGATCTAAACCAAACACATGTGGTGAAGTGATTTCCTGCAGAGCATACCCAGAGGAGGGGCTGAAGGAATGGCAGTTTCCGTGTTGTTCTTGCTGCTCCCATGCAGTAGTCCAGAGAATCTGCAGAGCCAAGAGAAGCCAAAACCAAAATGAGTGAACAGGCCTGGGTATGAGCATTCCTTCATCTCAGCTCTCTGACTCAGCCTTCCCTCCATCTGCTTCACAGAGTAAATGTCACCTCTTCCCATGACCTTCTATTTTCTTTCATGCTGTAGATATATTTATCTTCCTTTAAAAATGTATTTTTTAAAATGCAGCAGATTATTGAACCATCAGCCTTCACTAAATTGTGCATGAAATGCAGCAGATAATATTTTTTTTTGTAGAGCCAAAGGCTTGTGGTGTGAAATTCCAATTATTTCACAATGTTAAAATGATGAAAATTGTCAGTTGCTTATAAGAGATTAGCATCTCTATATGTTTAAGGAAAACCATGATACAATTTAAAATACAGAGCTTGTGTAACAAGCCTTTCTAAAAGCTGTGAGTTTAAGTGAATTTTTATTTTAATCTGTCCCTAGTTATTTCCTATATCACAGCTGGGTACTGAAGACTAAGTAAAGTGAGAAAATGGGTTAGGATTCTCAAGCAGAGATAGAAATAGCACTGCATGCTTAAGGCATATTTAAAGGGTCTGATTTTTCAGCTAGTGAACATTCAGTTTTTCTGGAAAATGGATATCCTGTCTCAAGAGTTTCTGAAAGACTCAGGCTGAGTCTCTCTAGGCTGCTTGCCCATGCTGCTCACAGTTGTGTTCTGAATGGCACTACTATTGCCTTATGTAACTGCTCAGGATGCAGCATGGAATTCATTACTAGAGAGGATTCAGTTTCCAACTGAAAAACAAAGTGTTGTGTGTAACCCTGACCAGCTCACTGGCAAACCTGGCCCTCATTTCAAATGGGAGATCACTGCCTGCTTCCTGCCTTTGCCATGTCATAGGGCTTGTTAAATTATAAATCTCTTCTGCTTTAGCTGTGATGCCCTCCCCACTGTGAATTTGCCATTTTAGTATAAAATATTTAAACCAATAGAGCCACCATGCTCTTCTGCTGCTATAACTGCATCTGTGTTCTAACATTTACCAGCAGAAATGGATCAGAAAAAGGAAAATTGCCTCCCTAATCAGAGTTTTCCCACTCTGTTTTTCCCCTTTGATCCAGATAGAGAGAGCAGCTCTTTGTTCTGCTCAGCTGAGGGATGGAGGAATTGCCCTGAAGGACAACTCTCCCAGCCAGATTCACCTTCACCCTCCCTGGAACAAACTGGTTTTGTTGCTACGTGCCTTGACTCAGTAGGAAAGAGGAAACGAGTGACTGCTACCCATTGCTGGCTGAGTAATTGGGTGATGAACTCATCCCCTGTCCCTCTTCCCACTAGGACATGGCAAAATTACCCTGACTCCTTTTTAATATCTTTACTTCTTCTATCAAGTCACATTTACTGATACGTAGCTGCCTCTTGCTCCAATGAGGGAAGTAACAACTTCCCGTGTGTGTTTTGTCATCACTCGTGGTTGTTGGTGTGGAGAAATGCCCGTTCTGGGAGCTGAGCTTTGTCACTCACCTCTTCATCATGCCGCACGACTGGGTGGGGCTGCTGCTGCGCTCCCTGCTGTAGTAGTTCTCGTACCCTATGGCAGCTGCAACAGGGCCATAAAAATGACATGTTCAAACAGCAAATACTGGTTTCTGCCTGCCAGAATGTGACTGGGGCTGCTGGAGCAAACTGCAGGGCAGCACCTGTCTGCCCTCACCTGGAATGTGGCTGGAGCAGCTCAGGGGAACCCGGGGGCTTGGCCAAAGCCATTCCCGTGGCTGGAAACAGCCGTGGTGGCCGGGCACGCTCGGCCTGAGGCCACATTCCAAGAGCTGTGACCGCCCTAATGAGGAAGGCAGTTTCCTCCACGGCTGTTTCTTCTATTGCCTCAAAGCTCAGGATTTAAGGGGGCAGAGTGTGGTCATTGGGAGCCCTAAGCAGTGGTCATGATAGAATTTGCTGCAGCACATTTTGTTTCTTTTTTCCTCAATGTATCTAGTCAGGAATTTTTGTCAGAACTGGTTCTAAGTGTTATTGCCTGCAGCAATAACGAGCCATTTCCTGGTGTGTGCTTGTGTGTTTCCCCACCTTCCATATCTCCCCCATCCGCCTCCTGAGAGCCTATTTGCTGTTTACCCAGAGATATTTGGGTTTTGTTCTCTCAAACACATTTAGTTGCAGTTCCTTTGCTCTCCCCTCTGGTGTCGTTAAGGGTGAAATTGAGACCATTTCCGAGTGTAACTTTGCAGATGAAATCATTACAGATGGATTTATTTGTCCTCAGTGCAGTTGCTTACAGCTGGTGGCCACACAGCCCTTCTGCCTGCTGGGTGTGAGAGCCAAACAAACATGAGTGAAGCCTGTGATGGAGTTTTATCTCAGCCCTGATAGCTGATAGTTAAGAAAGACGTTGGACTCGGGCTAAAGGTTATGTTGACATTCTCACACTGCGTCAGCCGAGACAATAAGCAGAGCAGGCACACAGAGCTAGAGAGTGTGAAGAATCCCTACAAATAAGACTCACAGTAATTAGGGAGTTTTCGGCCCAATTTAAAGGGTTTCCTGTTGCCCTTGTGCATTGTCACCTTGGTGCAGTTTCCAGTCTAGAGGGCACTGTAAGACTGGGTAGAAAAGGAAGTGAGCAAGACCATCAAGAAGGTTGGGTCAGGATGAAGGTCTGCCACACAGTGCAAAATGACACGTGGGTTTCCTCCTGCATTTAGCAAATAATAGCACAGATCAACAGCTCACCATGTGCTACAGTGTAAACTCATTAGCCAGAGCTGTAGAGATATTGGGATATTGCTTCTAGAACATGTCATCCTCTAGAAGGTGGCAAAATAAAAACAAGAAAGCAAGTCAAGTTTTTCTTTGCCTTTCGTAAAGCTCTCAAGGGTTTTTTTCCACTAGTTTTCATTAGAAATGACTCTGACATGGCCAAGAGCTTTTTGTAGAAATTTCCTATGTGACTGGAGAATGACAAATCTCAAATAGGGAAAAAACCCCAAAAACCTAAACCAAAAAAATCCTAGCTGAGAATTACACATTTCTTAGTATACAGAAGTTGTTTCACACTGTTGCAAAGCACAGTTCTCCTTTTTGCCACTGACAATGTAATTTTTCCTGGGTAAATTCTCCTGTATCAGTGATTTTAAATCCCCTTTGTGAAGAAGACAAACCTATAACAACAAAATGGCATCCAGTGTATCAGTATCAATATATTAGTTTTAAGTAATTCCCCAAATCCCAATTTTTAACCATCACAAGAGTAATGGCAAAAGGGCTGAGTGAAAAGCAGGCCTCAGATAGCTCAGTGCTGAGTTAGTGGCAGCACCCAGCTCGGTTGAGGAAGGTCCTGGGATGTAATTCCTGCCAGCTTTGAGCTCTGCAGTGAAATCAAAGGAGTGGAACTTGTTCTTGTACGAGATAATTATCCCCAGGGATCAGGCCTTCACATTTTGTACCTGTACAAGAGCTAGCATGGAAGGGTTTTATGGAACTGTCTCGTGTTGCCTGTTGCAGTGCTCGGGTGTGGTTTGTGTCTGGCTGTGTGACACATTAGACAGTTTGGAGAACTCCTACCCTGGAGCAGCAGGGTTCATTCTACAGCTGCCCTTGCCTCACGCTGGGTCGATCTCCATTTCAGCCCAGAGTTTCTGAGCATTGAAGTCAAGGAAAACGCAGCTTTGGCTTGAATGGGCAGAGCCTGTGAACCTGACAGCAGTTCTGTGTGCTGGGACAAAGCCAATTGCATTCAGAATTTCCCCCAGACAGTCTTGGCTTACGCCAACAACTTCCTGAGAGCAGACAATTTGTTATTCCCCATTGGGCATGTGGAACAGAATAGGAAACTGGCTCTTCTCTGTCTGCAGATGAAGAGGCAGCACCTCTGTAAGGGGACACTGGGGTGCAGTTACCTGCTAAGTTGGCTCTGGCTTGTCACCACTGCAGGAAGCTGAAGTTACCATTTCTGCAAGGCAATTTGCCACCTCCTTAGCAGTGTCAGTTCAGCTGTACTGTGAAATGAGCCTGGCTGCAAAGCCAAAAGAAGTTTTTTCTTCTTTGGAGGGTTATTTTTAAGCTGGATCATTCTGCTATCCCACTTAGAGCAGCACACAGGCAGCCATGGCAGCACAGTGTGGGGGAAGTGAGCCATGGCAGGTGGGAATGAAAAGCTGGAGCAGAAACTCCTCCAGCTGGTCTCACCTCCAAAGGACAAGTACTGCACAAGCCATCTGACAAGATCAGTAGGAATAATTACCTGGAGGTTGTGTTCCTGTCATTTTTGTCTTAATGAAGTAGTCTATGTCTGACTCTACAACACAGTTCTCCAAGCTGACCCGAACCTCTTCATACAGCTGCAAAACAGAACCCAAGAGTTTAATTCAACTTTTAACATTTCACGTTGAATTAACAAACAATGCTCTTGGAGTAATTGTCCCCTTAAGAAACACTTTATACTTGGTACATGTCTGACCTGGCTGATCTTTAGCCTGTCCCCTGTACCAATATTCTTGTAAACACACCTGTTGGTTTGTGCTCTGGATAGTCTTTAAAGAGAGCAGGACAAAGGCAGTCCAGGATTTTTCAACACAATAAAGAAATTAATAGCAGGAAGCAACCATTCAAAGTCAAATCCAGTGTATTCTTTACGTCTTCCAGCATCGAGGCCATGACTGGATGCCTTTTTTGAAATTGTTTCAGAGCCCAAATATACTCAGCTGAGTGTTTTGGTAGCAGGAAGCATTCCCCAGCAAACCAAGGAGGACACACGTGAGTGCCACCAAGTGTGACCCAGACTGTCTGCATGCACACCTGCGTGTGGATGCCATCTAGAGAGAGCAGCAGTGAGACACTGCCCTGGGGTCAGGGCAGCAGAGGAGGGCAGGGTGATTGATGTACCTCATCATCCTTCACACACTGCAGGGACAGCTGGTTGCAGTGCACCCACAGCGAGTTCCTCAGGATCGTGATGCGGTCGCACTCCTGCAGCTGGAACACCTAAAGCCAAACGGGAAACGTCATGGAGCTCGTGCTGTTATTTGCTGTGCAGGCTGGGACAGGGCTGGGGATGCAAACCTAGTCAAAGGTTGTTTTTTCAATTGGTGGAGGAACTACATCCACTGTTTGTACTCAAAAATTTGTTCTAATTGGTTGCACCAAATTAAAATTATATTTAGAGACAAAAAGCAGGAGAGAAGAATGCAGCTCTGGATTTCACTGCTACCTCTGCTGTTGAGGATTTCAGAGTCAGGGTCCTGTCTGCCCATCACACTGAAATCTTGATGTTTAGCAGATCAGTAGAGTACTGGCATGAATGGGTTGTATTTATGTTACTGGTAAAGCCAAAACTATCCACCTCTGCCATCTAAAATGCCTCTCTAAACTTTTCCCTTCTGAAGGTACTTGAGGCATTCTCTGCATATCAAAAGTTATTTTTGTGGTAAAGACAAGGCATTTTTCTCTCTTCGGAATTACTCCCTTCATCTGTCTGGCTTCCTCGTGTTGCTGCACTGCTTAGGAAGAATGAAGGGGGCAGAGAGAGAAGTGTGAACCAATTTGGGAGAAGAGGCAGATAAGCTCCTTCTTTAAAAACTTTTTAAAAACCAAATCACCCTGATCTCTACGTTATACTGTTAAAAGTAGAACAAAAAGTAGAACAAGGTTTCGGTTTTTCTATGAGGTGTGAAAATCTCAGATGCTTCCAGCCATCTGTCTCCATCTCTATTTGCTAGTAATTATGTCCAGAACACCATAAATGTATACAACATTGAGCAGAACACTCAGTTGGGTATGCTGCCTGCCATCTAATAACTTACTGATTAAAAAAACCCAGAAAAAGAATCTGTCAAGGGAGTAAGCTGCTGTAGGGACTGGTTTCTGAGAGTAAAAGCTCTTAAAGAGAACGTGCAAGGTGGAGAAGGAGTATTTCAATACTGGTTCTGAACAGAAAGCCTCTGGCCCTCAAGGCTGCTCAAACAGCACCAGAGCCAAAGGGGAATTTTCCAGGTCAGTGGTGTCCTGTCAAGAAATGCAGTTAATCCAAGAGGGAAGTGTGGTGACTCTGGGCTTTTAACCCTTGTCAGCACCCAGAAAAGCACAGCTGGGTGTTGTGTTTGCCACATCCCTGGTGCTGCTGGAGAGCCAGGGCATTCCATGCCAATGTGGCACAGCCCCCACATGTGACAAAGGCCAGCCCAGTGCTGCCACTTGCCAGCCAACACTTTCAGGCTGTGGTTGTCCAGCACTCAGTTAGAGATCCAAGCAACCCCAGCACTTCAGATTCCCCACTATGCAGCCACAAGTGTAGGATTTTAAGCTGCTTTTTGTAGTAATTGCTAGTTTTCAAAAACCCCAAAGAGTATCAGTTCTTCTCTCTACAAGCACTTTTAAAAGGAGGCATTAAAGATGCCCTTCCTTTATGAATGGCTGTTTGGATTAAGCAGTGGGCAGGTCAGGATTTAGCCATATTGGACAAAAAAGAGTGTGAGGTTGTGGAATGCTTCACTGGTTTGTTGGCTTTCTAAAAAGGGAGAAAATATGCATCTTTGGAAGGCTAAGGCTTGGCATAATATCTGTGGAAATGTTTGTGCCAGTTGTGGGGCTTTTCAGTCCTCTCAGGTAGGGAATGTTTAAGAGGAAGCAGAGAACTGGAAAAGTATCCTCCTGGCATTTTATTTTTTGTGGAAATAAAGCCTGCAACAAGTTAATATACCAAAATCAAACTTTAGCAGATGAGCAAATGTACTTGAAGGATTACTGTGATCAAATGTGTGGCTGATTTGGATGCCAACCAGTTCTTGTAAATTGTTGTGCAAACCTTAATAGCCAAGTGCAAATCTCCTTGTCCATCCTCAGTAAAATGGAGACAGAGACTTCTCTACCACCACCTTTCAGCTGAAAGATAATTTCATGGCAGAGGACAAATATTCTTGCAGGTGAATTTAAAGTGCTATGAAACATAAAGAGTGACTGGGGTATGAACCAGTTCATGTATTGCTCCACCTCTCCCACCTCTGCACTTATTCCCCTCCTTTATTTTTACATAGCTGTGCTGCCCAGGCAAGGAGGCTGTCAGTGAGATAGAAGCAGCTATGTCTAAATAAGTTCCAGTTTTTGCAGTAATTTTGCAGAGACATCTGCTGAGACTCCACATAAAGCAAACAGCAAAACCCTTGGGATGGTATTTCAGGCCTTAGACTGAAATCTTCCAATCAGATAAAATAAAGAGTGGGCAAACATGGCTGCAAAAGTCAATGTTTACCTCGCAGGTTTTGATGTGTTCCTGTTCCCACTCTGTCCTGACCTTATCCAGCTGCTCGATGTTCTGTTTGTACACGTTCTCTGTAAACACAGAACAGAAACCCAACAGTCAGGGAGAGAGTGGTACAGCCTTTCCCTCTTTCCTCCTATTAGGCCTTTCCTGTGATTCCTACACATCAGGCCTGTGGTTTGCTTGAGAATCACAAGAATATGTGAGCTTGCAACTGGTAGGGCACAATAATTATTGGGTTTTTTTCTTTGTAGCTGTGTACTTGAGTAAGGATTCTCTCTGTATGGTTTGTATTTTATGGTAGGGATAATACAATTCAGAGATGAAGAGCCTGGACTGAGCATCCTTAGGCCCTTCCCAAGGCAACCAGGTGAGCCATGTGATTTAGTGTCAGCTGTTCCATGAGTAGGGAGGGACAGGCCTGAGCTCCTGAGCCAGCTCAGGTGTGTGCTGGCCTGTCCTTCTGGGCATACACGTTTGTGGCTGGAGATCACTGCTGTGCTCATGCATGTGGGTGTGGGGATCTGATTTGGGCTGTCTTGTGGCAATTTAAGTGTCTGCTGTGCTTTCAAACTTGCTCCAGGAAGAGCTTTTCTTCCCTGGGTGAAGTCCCTAAAGGAAGTCTTCTGTAAGTTCTTTAATGCAAGCAGGACACTGGCATTTCCACAAAGGGGAGTGACTGCCAATGACTGTCAGGTTCTTTAGGCTGCTCTTTAGAGGCTTCTTCATTAATCTTTGGGTAGGTGGCTTTGGGAGCCCTGACAGCCTGGGTGATTTGGATGTGTTCTGTCCAAATCCTGTGCTGGCAGACCTTTGCTGAGAAGAATCATAGTTCAGCTGCAAACAGCATCACCTGCTTCATTTGCTGCATCTCTGCATTGCTTGGCTTTGTTCTGGCTCTGAAACAGGAAAAGAAACACCCCAATTTAATTTCTGACATATTTTTGCTTCTTCCTCAGTTTTTTGTGCTGCCTGCTCTCTTCCCCTTAGGGGGAAGGTTCTAACTTCCTGGCTGCCCCCCCTTTATGCACTGGCTGCTGAATGTGTGCTGTGGAACAGGGACCACAATTCCCCAGGTGCAGCCAAAAGTCCAATGACTTCAAGGGAAAGCTTTCCATTCAGACATCTCTGCCAGAGGAGCTCAGAGCCAGCATGATCCAGCCCGAAGCTGTGCCTGCTGGCTGAGTTGTTTTTTCTCAATTGTTTGATGTGCTTTTCTAGTAGATATTTATAAGCAGAAATAAATGGCAGTTCAAATTCTTCATCTTTCAAGCTCCTCATGTAATACTCAGATGAAAAGCACACAGCTTTTAAAATACTTTGCAAATGCCAGATTATTTCCCATAACAACTCAGAAGTCTAAAAGCAAAATTACTCTAAGTAGAAGTTCTCTGTTTTAAAAAGCTGCAGCTTTTAGCAAATGAGAAAGCAGCCATCATTGACAGGTCTGTACTCGCAGGTCCTTCTGCACAGATGGTGATGACAGCACAGTAATGCACTGCTCTAGACATCAGTGTAATACATTCTTCCATCCTGCCCTTGAAGACAAGGCTCAGGTAGGGGTTCTTATGATCATATTCCTCATCACAGCTGGCTGGGAAACGTGTAGTAAGCTGGGAACAGAAGCTTCGTTCTTATTTGTTTCCTGGCCCAAACTGTTTGCAAATGCTGAGCAGAATTAAACAGCTTGTGAGCTGCCTCTGTGCATTCCCAACGTGCTGGCATGTGTGGGGAGGAATTGGCAATGGAGCACCCTGGGATCGTTCTGCATGAAAAGGAGCTGGGTCAGCTTTAGCTGCCATTGAAGCTGTGAAATGTTCTGGTGTCATTTCGGCAGGGCTGGGATTCCATCCCCTCTTTGCAGCTAAGCTGCAGGGCTTTGCTCATCAAAGATTAGGGAGTGCTGGAAATAAAATGTAAAGTTCTGATGCTGTTTTTAGAGTCTCCACACCACCCCCCCACAATCTCCTTGAGATGATTTTTGATCCTTTTTGCTTACACTGCACTGATTTTTATCGAGCCAAAGGGAGTTCATTTATTTTGTTTTCTCCATCTGTTTCACTGTAAAATGTTCCCATTAAAAGTTAGTGAATTGTCAGCTACAAGTATCAAGACGATGCAATGAAGGACTGCAGTGCCTTAATTTCCAACGATTTATTTTTGAGTCTGTAGATTTAGTTGAAATTAAACTCACCATAAGGAGAAAAATGTTGAGGAAAAATATGCATTTTAATGTAAGATGCTGTGCCTACTAAGTTTAAGAGACCAAAAGGCAAAACTAACTGCATGACATATTTTTGACTTGTTTCTTTTTCTTAATGAATAATTTCAGAGAAAATTCTCATTCAGTTTCCTTTCAGGATTCATAAACCAATTGGATCACAGCCTGGGATAAATCAATTAGATAACTTAGTCCCTTCCCAGAGGATTCTTTGGGGTTAATTTGAAGACAAAGCCCCTGGCACCCAGTAGAATGGGCTGGTGAATTGTATTCTGTTGTACCTTGAGAAGACAAACCCCAGTTTCCCGTGTGCATGGCACTGCCCCCTCGGGTACCTTTTCTGTTTGCTTTGGGTTGCCTGCAGCGCTGGTGCGTTCCAGGGACAGCTCGGCCTCATCCGCCTCGCGGCACTTCTGCTCGTACGTCTTCTTGGACTGGGGGAGTGAAACCAAACGTGAGGCTCTGGGGGAAACATGGCTGGGATCCCCCTCACTCATGTTCCACCACTTTCTCTTTTGCAGTGTGGGGGAGCAAATCAGTTTGCCCGGTTTGGGCAATAGAAAAAATCCCAATGACACTGTAAGGAGGTAAAAAATAGAACTGAAACATTGGAATAGGGGCTGACAGCATAATGGTATCCTTTTCCTGCAGCCCTGAAATTGTCTGCTCTGTACAACTGCAACTCCCTGAGGGGTCAGGGATGCACAGGCTGCTCTGCCACCACTGGTGCATCAGACATCTGCCCAAGCAACCACGAAGAGATGGAACTGAGAGCCCAGGTTCCTGGGGTGGCCCTGGGGTGGGTTGTCATCTGTTGCCTTGGCCATTGCTCCAAGCTGTGAGGCAGAGCCAGCACCCCTGAGGCAACAGTCTTGGTGTAGTTCTCAGAAGCAGGAGAAATCTTTATTTGTATCAAAACATCGCTCTGTCTTAGAGATACACTTAGAACAACCACATTTTGAAAATAAATTGTTAGTACACTTTCAGCTGTAGCACTGACAGGCCTGCAACTACTTTTCTTTAGAGGCAGTTGCCCATTGGAAACCAAAGCCAGCTGCCTGTAGTTTCTGTGCCTGCAAGCTTTCCAGCTGGAGAGGATTCCTCCTGCCTACAAGATTCCCATACTGTTCTTAAAATTGTACTTACACACACTGAGAAATTATATATACTCCTACAAGTACCCTTGCCTAGAAAGAATGCAATCCTATTTGACCTGGGGCACTGTTCATCCTGTGTTAACCTTCTGGAGCCTTTTCAGTGGGTGCAGCAAGGAAGATCAGCTTTGTCCTCACAGCAGGAATGACATCTTCCCTCCCTCACACACTCTTGCACACTCACACAGCTTTGACCTTTCTTTAAATAGAGGTACATGTGATAGAGATTTTACTGGAGCCAGTTTGCATCAGGAAACCTGCCCAAGCCCTCCCTGCTTACCTCCATGGTTTTCTTATAATGGGACAGTTTGCTCTTTTGCATCCGCTCCATTGCAGATTCGTACTGTAAGAAACACACACAGCTGAGCATTTCCTGTTTTACACTTCTCCCTCCCCTCTCCAGCAGCAGGATTAGGAGAACCATAGTCAGGGCCTTTCTACAAGCCACCTCCCTGTGGGCAAAATTACTTCACTCTGCTTTTATAAATGACAGGTTTCTAAGTGATACAGAGAGCATCAAAGTGCCAGGTAAAAAAATAATCCCAGATAATTATGCTTTGGTGGTTTCCATTAATAGCAGAGAGGATCTTCATTTTCTTCCTGCCTTTTTTTTTTTTTTTTTTTAAGGAGATGAAATGCAACACTCAGCCACAGTGGGCTCTATCAGCAGGGCTCCTTTGCTGGTGCTAGAGCTTCATCCCACATCTCTGCAGACCAAACCACTGTCTCACCCACATGAGCACAGGTAGTTGTCCATTTTCAATCCAAACTATTCCTGTTTCTTTTATATTCCACTACTTCTGGCAACTTTATGCTCAGTGTGATTCGATTTCCATGCTGGAGTCATCTGGGCAGTGTTGGAAGGGCAGTGCTGGATTCTGTTTCATGGCTTTAGTTGTGATATGCCCAGCTTTATGTGACAATGAGATATGCTCCTACTGGCAGGGGATGGATTTCTTCAGGGGGACTTTGGTCCTTTAATCTTTGCATTCTGCTCAAGCAAAACTCTCTCCAGGGCTACCCAGCTGCTTGTTTCACATTGGGCACAATCCTGAGACAGCTACAGTGCAACACAAATCACAGCATTTTGGGAGGCTACCAAAACTGCTGACACCATCCAGCATGTCTAATGTTGGCTTCCTCACAGCCACATGCTGGACAGACAAAAAAGCTTATCTAAGACTCCAAAGCAGTTTTTCCTTTTTGCTTTTTCCCAGGCCCCTCTAACTGTTCCCAGTCGAGTTACAGGCTTACAGTTCTCAACAGGAGGGAGCCTCTCTGCACATCCCAGTGACAAAGGGGACAAACACTGATGAACGTGGTGCCCACTGTCTGTCTTTTAATGCCTTATTTGCTTCAGCAGATCATTGCCAATCTCAAATCTCAGTAGCAGCACTGGTTTCACCCACTTTCATATTCAGAATTCTTTGTTATTCTGAGTTTCTGTGTGTCGGGGCTTGTAGACAAACTATTTTTGTGGCACTGGATACTGGTTATATACATTTTCACCTGTTTAAAATTAGCAAAGAAAGGAATATTTCTTTTAGTCCTCCATCACTCAGTGCTGTCAGAGTGAAGGGATGGTCCTGTCTTTGCCTTCAACCCCGTGGACCCAGAGAAGGTGTGAGACTGCTGTCTCTATTGAGCTATTTTTCAAGAAAATTAGGGCTTGATAAGGTCATAGGGGATGAAATAGCCTTAAATATACTCAAGTTTTTTATTATACAACATCAACTAAATTCTACTTATTCCATGTATTTGGAATTCAGCATGTATTGGTGTTGCATTCAGCATGACATTAATTTGCTTTCATGTTTTTAAATGTTTGTGCTATGGCTTTATTTACTGCGTGTTGGAGATTGTGCAGGTTCATATCAAAGAAACCCATTAGCAAGGGTATAAAAAAGAGAAAAGGAAGGATTAAGTTCTTACAGAAATTATAATAACAGCATCTGCAGTTACACCAGAGAGAGTAAAAGGGACTAAAGCCTCTGGCTCCTGAGTTCAGAGCACTACTTTATTTCCAGCTGGGATCAGAAAGAGATTTTTGTTCCACAGTCTCGTCTATAGAGGGAATAGGGCATGCTGGTAATGCTTTATCATCTTTTGCAGAATTCCCAGCCTATGGCTGGAGACAGGGCACCAGCATGGACCATTGACCCAATCTGTTTCAACATTTCTCTAGTTTCTCACCTTTTTTCTTTGCTCCTTCTGCCTTTCTCGGAACTCCTCTATTCCTTTCAGTTCTTCCTTCAGCATTACTGCCAGCTGGATATGAGAGTTTCCAACACTTTCAATTTCTAAAGCAAATCAGAATTCATATTCAGTCAGTGGGAAAGTCGTTAAAGACAAAGTCACATTTTTTAGGAGATGTTTCTGTGATGTGGCTGCCCCATGAGTTGTCACAAGCAGGGCAGCCTTTAAAAATGTCTCCCTTGTGTTTCTGCATGCACTGACATCGCTGAGGGCTCAAGAACAAAGTGTGTTTCTTCATGGCCCCATTTACCCCAGCTGCTCCCCTTCCTTTGGGACTGAGGGTCGGGAGCTGTGGTGCAGAGGGAGGGAAGGGGCTCTGGCCTCCATCACCCCTGTGTGTGCTTTGTCCTGGCTGTGCTGCTGGGCTGTCACTGCCAGCACTGCCAGTCATTACATGAAGTTGCACACTGAGAATTTCCAAGGATCAGCTAGGATGGATTGAATTTCAGAGCACCTGGCTGGTGCTGTTTGAAATGGCTGGGAACTGCTCTGCATTTGTCAGCTTCAGTGCCTCTGAAATGGAACCCTGCATTTTCCAGAAATGCTGAGCTCCCCTCTCCAGGCCCTAAAAATACCTCAGTGCAGCAGCTGCTTTTCAAGAGGGAGTTTTGGTGTAAACAGAGGTGCCAGTGACCAGGTACAGTGTCCTATTGGTTCTCATGGTGCTGCCTTTTGTGTGTGTGAAAGGGTTTCATTGTGCCTTGGGCACATTCAGGCAGCTGGTTTGGTGTCAGTGGTTTGCAGAAGAGGGAACAGAGTTCATATCTTCTGACTTGACCCAGATAAAATTTACTTGAAGAAAAAGCCTTTTTTTTTGCCACTAAATTGAGTAGGCATCCATTTTCTCCCTTCTTTACACCACAGGATGTGAAAGAAAAGCTGGGAATGGTGTGGGGAACAGGATGAACACATTGGGTGCCTGTGTTTCCCAGGTCAGAAGGGAACAGGGAAATACTTACGTTGCTTGAGCATCTCAAATGCTGCCTTCAGTG